GTATTATGCTAAGTAAAATAAGTCTGTCAGAGAAAGACAATTACCATATGATCTCACTCATGTGTGGAATTTAAGAAACAAAACAGAGGATCATGGGGGAAGGGAGGGGAAAATAAAATAAGATAAAATCAGAGACGGAGACAAACCATAAAAGACTCTTAGCTATGGGAAGCGAACTGAGGGTCACTGGAGGGGAGGGGGTAGGGGGACGCAGTACTGGGAGACGGGTATTAAGGAAGCACATGATGTAACGAGCGCTGGGTGTTATATAAGACTGATGAATCACTGATCTCTACCTCTGAAACTAGTAATACACTCTATGTTAATTAATTGAATTTAAATTAAAAAAAAAAAAAGTGTGTCTTCCTGCAGGCCTCCGTCAAAAAGGCTGGCAAGCCCCTGGCCTGGAGTTTGAGGAAGAGTTAGCCATGAGGAAATGGTGGCGACACATGTTCCTGGCAGAGGGAACAGCTTACCAGGGCCCAATGATGGGGTTGGAAGGAGGAGTGCCAAGCACAAAGTCCTGCCTTGTCCTATGGCCGGGGTGGAGGGGGGTGTCTCTGTGAGGCTAGGTGAGATTCCCACCTTCCTCATCCCCAGGGCCCACCCCATGGGAAGGAGACAGGGGGCAGGAAGCTGTCTTTGCGCCTCCCCAGGCCTTGGAGCTACAATCATCCCTGCCTCGACCCAGGTGACCCAGGCCGTGACCCTTAAGGCTGCCTGGCCTCTGAGGTCGAGGCTGGGATGATCGTAGCTCCGGCGATAAGACAAAGTCAGCCAATCCATGGGGATAAAGCCTGAACGTCTGTATCAAACAGATCTGCATCTAGAGCTCATTTCCTCTACTTACCAGCCTTGGGATCTCAGGCAACGTTTACAACCTCTCTGTGCCTCAGTTTCCTTCTGGATAGCACGGGGCTAGTGAGACTGAGGAGTATAGAGGAGGAGGAGTCTAGTCTTACTAGAGTAAGATTCCCCTCAAAAGTCCCCAAGAGTCCCTGTAAGGACTTTCCGTCCTTTCATACTCTTCAGTATGAGTATGTCCTGGGTATGGCTTGGAATATTCCTACGCTAAAAACGTATTTGTTATTTTTCTGAAATTCAAACAGACTCAGGCATTCTGTATTTTATCTGTCACCCTACGTAGAAATCCAGGGGCACAGGAGTGCCTGGGTGGCTCAGCGCTTGAGCGGCTGCCTTGGGCTTGGGTCGTGACCCTGGGATCCTGGGATCGGGTCCCACGTCGGGGCTCCCTGCACCAAGCCTGCTTCTCCCTCTGCCTGTGTCTCTTTTTTTTTTTTTTTTTTTAAAGATTTTATCTATTCATTCATGATAGTCACAGAGAGAGAGAGAGAGAGAGGCAAAGACACAGGCAGAGGGAGAAGCAGGCTCCATGCAGGGAGCCCGACGTGGGATTCAATCCCGGGTCTCCAGGATCGCGCCCTGGGCCAAAGGCAGGCACTAAACCGCTGCGCCACCCAGGGATCCCTCTGCCTGTGTCTCTGCCTCTCTCTGTGTCTCTCGTGAATAAATAAAATCTTTTAAAAAAGAAAAGGAAAAAGAAAAAGAAATCCAGTGGCTCACACTTTGTCCCCAAACCACAGGGACCTGACACCCTGGAATAGTTCTCAGGCTTCCAGAGGGGCCGGCCCCAGTCTCCCACCTCTCCCACTCTCCTGCCTGGGGCTGCCTCTTTCTTCTCTCTGTCCCAGCTCCGCTTGACCATGGGTCTGCCCTGTTCCTTTTCCCTCATTCCCTGAAGTCCCAGCCTCACAGGCTGTGGCGTGTGACCCACTTTTACTGACCTTGTGGGGAGAATGGAGGGCATTGGCAGCTCAGCTCCAGCAGAAAACACACCTTGTGGCAACTGTCAGACAGCCTGGGGCCTGGATCCCAGGATCCCGTCCCTGCACTCCCACAAGGGGCATCCTCGGGGGCCCAGCTCCTCACAGACACCCTCTTCCTGCTTGTGCTGTTGCAGGGTCTCAGCCCCTCCTTCAAGCCCCCAGCAGATGACACACGCATCCACGTTGTCATGGAAAACAACAGCCCGGTGTCTGGTGGGACCTGGGAAAGGAAGAGTCCCGGAATGAAACTGTGTTACGTTTGATTACTTAGACGAGGCCAAATGATTGCCAAGTCACATGTGAGGCAAGAAACACGGGTGTGTGGCAAAGCCTACAGGAGTATCTGAAGACTGGAAAGAAATTCGGGACACGATAGCGGACAATGGTGTGAGAAGTGGTGCGTCACTACACTCCTGATGGCCCAGAGGGTGATGCTGGGTTGGAAAACACTGAGGATTCTGAATCAAAAAGAATTTTAGGGATGTTGGACTCTGAATGTGAAGACATTTGGGGACTATTTTAGCCAACTTGTTTTACCTATCATTTCCTTTCTGGTACAGGCATAAGAGTGATTTTGACTTCGAAAAAAAAAAGTGATATTGAAATAAATCTGAGAAAATTCTTTCATTATGCACAAAACAAAAATTGGTAAGGAAGCATTTCTGGGGTCATTTTCCTTCATGGCTTTCTAAAATTATTTTTGGTTATGGCAAAAATGCACAGAACATAAAACCTTCCTAACCATTTATAACTGCACAGTTAAGTGGTCTTAGGTACATACACTTTTTTGTGCAACCATTACCACAATCTATCGCCAAGGAAGCATTTTTCGTGGTGATTCGTGGTGCCTGATTCGTGGTGCTTGATTCGTGGTACCTCATACAATTGATGGCACCTTGGACCTCATAAGACACGGCGTAGTGGTCAGCGTAGACAAAATGCAGTCCTCCCCTGGGGGAGCTCCACTGCCCACCCAGCTCGAACCCCCTGGCTTTGACAGGTGCACCTTTTTTCTCCCTGGCTCAAAAGGAATGCACAGCACAAGTAGGACCCAGTCATGTTGGTGCCCTCCCCTCCTCCAGAACTGAGTAAGTCTTAATCCCTCTGGACTTCAGGTTCTTATCTGTAAGATCCGTAGTCTCAATGACCTCTAAGATCCTACTGTGGGGCACCTGGGTGGCTCAGTCAGTTAGGTGTCTGCTTTGGCTCAGGTCATGATCCCAGGGTCCTGGGATGGAGCCCCACATGGGGCTCCTTGCTCATCAGGGAGCCTGCTTCTCCCCTTCTCCCTCTGCCTGCTGCTTCCCCTACTTGTGCTCTCTCTCTCTCTCTGTCAAATAAATAAATAAAATCTTTTAAAATAAAGATTCCATTGGGTTCTAAACTTGTGACTATGATTGAATGAGCATGTGCACACACACACACATACACACACATATTTGGGTTGGGAGTTCATAGGCTGCAGAGAGAAACTGTGACACTTCTGCGTTTATGGGAAGGTAAGAGATTTTCACTTGACTAGGTGAGGGCAGGTCCTGCCCAGAATCAGGGGTCAGCAGGCCACTCCCTCTCTCTGTCTCTCAAGATCATAAACATCTTGACCAAAGAGGAGAGACCAGAGGGGTGCATGGTCCAACTAAGGGCACACGAGGGGCTCCACTCTGCAGTCTCCGATCCCTCCCAGACTTCTGTTCCTAGGACTGTGACTTACCTGGGGACCCGCTGGACAGGAGGTAGAGGAGGGTCTGGAGCCAATCGTCCTAACTGCCCTCTGAGCCTGACCCCGCGTTTGGGGTTTGGGTATCCGGGAGAGGGAACAGGGCCAGAGGGATTAGGGAAGAGTGTGGGGAGTGGGGCCCGGGGACTCCCAGACCGAAATGTCTCTTAGATCCCAGGCCAGAGCAGCACTGACGGCAGGAGGTGGCATTGCCCATATGCTGGGCTGAGTGGGCACCGAGGCTAAAGAGTCACTTATGGATCACTGCAGCCTCCCTGAGCCTGCACAGCTCACTGCCTCACAGAAATGTCCTTCCCATGTGGCTTGGGTGGCTCTGAGCTCCAGGGGGTGCCTACAACCTGTCACAGCTTCTGGGACCCTGCCATGTGAGTTTAGGAAGACCTTTTCTCCCCCTCCAAGGAGTCAGAGTATAAATAATGCTATTAACAATAGCTGATGTTAGTTGACGTATTAATAATGATGGCTTACTGTGGGCCAGGTGCGGCTCTGAGCACTTTACATCATTTCATTTCATTCAAACCCCAATCCCTTGTAAATTGATTATTCCCTATTTACAGAGATGGACAAGAAAGGGTAAATCTCAGAGACAGAGCAGGGTGATGCTGCAATGGAAGCCTGAAGCTTCCTCAGTCAACCACAGGTTGATCCCATCATGGGGGGCCAGGGTCCCCCCCCCCCCGCCACTGAAGCCACCCCCTCCCTCCAGGCTATGGAAGCTGCCTTTTGGCTGGGGTTCCAGGGAGGAGGTGAAACTTAGTAACTTATGGGTAATTGGCTGCAAGAAAGGGAGCACAGAAGAGACCTTACGCCTTGGAAAGTTCACGTCCCAAGCCAACCAGTTGTTTTCCATCCCTTTCAAGGGGGGATAATGGAAGGTTAACAACAGGAAGAGCTCCCCCATCACCAGAAGGGGTAGCATTGACATCCTGTCTCATGGTCAGTGTCGAGTGAGGTGCTGTCCCTGCCTTGACAATAGTTTGAGCTGGAGGGAGGGGGGTTTGGCATCATCCCCTTGGAGAATCCCCATTCGGGGGACCAGTGGGGGTAGGGGAGGCCCTGGGGCAGTAGCCCTGGGGGAGCCAGGGAACAAACACGGAAAACCAGGGGGACGTCAGTCCTTATCTGGAGCTCATTAATGGGGAACATTAGTCAGCTGTGAAGGCCAAGATGGGGTGATAGGCATGCGGGTGGGCAGGGGTTGGGGGGGGCGGCAGGAGGCAGCCAGAGGAGAGACAAGGTAAGGGCCCAGACTCCACCTCCGCCTCACGTGTCCAAATCCAGATGGAAGCGCCCTATAAATGCCCGTAGCCCAGCCTCCCCAGAGACCCTGAGAGAGAGAGAGGGAGAGGGAGGGAGGGAGAGAGGGAGAGGGAGGAAGAGAGGGAGGGAGGGAGGGAGGGAGCGCTCCTCGAGCTTCCGAGCTTCCGTCGTCGGGCCCACCGGCCAGCGCACAGAGGCCCCACAGCATGTGGGAACTGCGGTCCATAGCCTTCTCCAGGGCGGTGTTCGCCGAGTTCCTGGCCACGCTGCTCTTCGTCTTCTTCGGCCTCGGCGCAGCCCTCAACTGGCCGCAGGCCCTGCCGTCCGTGCTGCAGATCGCCATGGCCTTCGGCCTGGGCATCGGCACCCTGGTGCAGGCCCTGGGCCACGTGAGCGGGGCCCACATCAACCCGGCCGTGACGGTGGCCTGCCTGGTGGGCTGCCACGTGTCCTTTCTCCGGGCTGCCTTCTACGTGGCCGCGCAGCTGCTGGGGGCCGTGGCAGGGGCGGCTCTGCTCCACGAGATCACGCCACCGCACGTTCGAGGGGACCTGGCTGTCAACGCAGTGAGTGTCCTTTGACCCTGGGAGGTCCCCTGTACAGGGGGAGACAGGAGGGACCAGATCTGGGTGAGGGTCTGGGAGGGGACGGAGAAAGATGGAAGGGTGGGGAGGGGGAGACGGAGGTGCTGGAGCCAGGAAGGCAGGAGCGGGAAGGAGTCGGGGTGGGAGCCACAATAAGGTCAGAGCGGAGGCAGGAGGCAGGACGCATGCGGGTCTGCTGGCACCTTCTGCCCTGAGCCTCGTGGAGGAAGAGCCCTCAAACCCAGGCTTGACTGCAAAACTCATGCTCTTTCCACCTGATCACTGTACCTTCCCTGAGCCGTCAACTGAGACTTGTTTAGCCAACAAGGAAACTGAGGCACAGAGAAGGGAAGGGATGGGCCTAAAGTCCTACAGTTTGTCAATACCAGAGAAAGCACCAGAACTCAAGGGAAACCTGAAGAGGCAAGGTCTCTCCAGACCCTGGAAAAGGTCCCCAGAGCCCGTGACCAACTGCTGATTATGGGAACGGTGCTAGTCAGACCCCTGAAGCACTCTGGGAGCTGGAGGGGATGCCACGACCCCTTCCCCTCCACGCTCCTGCCTTCCTGGGTCCGCGCAGCACCCTGGCATCCCAGGCCATGGGTGGGGAGGCAGAGTCTGGGTCCCCTCAATCCACCTCTCGCTCCACCCCCCATCCACATCAGGGTAGCAAATGCCCCATTCACACCTCAAACCCCTGCCTTTCCTGGCCTCCTCTACCCCTGGGCCACTGGATAAAAGGTCTGATGTCTCTGGAAAGTCCTACATGGTTTCTGTGGCCACCCCCTCCTTTGCACAGTTGGCCCTTCCTCACGCAAGGGGCAGAGGTGTCCCAATTGGGGAACTTTTTTCTTCTTCAGAATGGAAAATACGATGAGGCTGGTGGCTCAGGGATGAGAAAAGGCTAAAGTGGCCACTTCCAGTGAGAATGAAATTAGTTCTGTTTCCAGCAAGGAAAGGCCTAGTCAACTGTCAACTAGCTCTCAGAAAGGAAGGGTCTGGGAAAGGTCCCCCAAGTTCCTGCTCAGCATTTGCCACTTTGAAGAACTAAGGAGATCCCCGCCTGGCTGGAATGGAGCAGCAGTGGGGCTGAGTTGCCCTGAAGCTAGAAAGCTAGAAGACCCCCCCACCCCAAGGCTCTTGTTCCAGGTGTCAGCTGAGGTCCCTGGAGAGGCCAGCCTGGCCACCAGGAAGTTACCATTGATGTGCACCTGCTCTTTGCCAGGCCAGATATCACCTACTTCTTGGTACAACCCTGTAAGATGAATTATGTGATCCTTCTACCCTGATTGGTAAATCAAGGCTCAGCACTCAACTGACTCAGATCACAGAGCCAGCTGGTGTCAGCAGCTGGAGATGGACGCAGAGCTGTCTGACACCAAATCCACATCCACACCTCTCCCTTGGTAAATGGAAAGCCATTTACCAGTGGGATTGGGGCTGGGGCTCTGCCCTTGTCATTTCCAGTCCTCACACAGTGCTCCGGAATCTGTTTTGTCATCCCCATTTTACAGAAAGACAAACTGAGGCTGAAGTAGTAAATAAGTTACAACCCTCCAAAGTACCTGCCTTCAAAGCTCTTTTCACTGCCCCCCACACACTAGATACTCTACCATTGGACAACAGGGGGCACTGAGCTTAGACCCTAGAGACCCAAGTGTGCCAGTCCAATGGCTAGGGCCCAAGAATGGGGGTTCATGGCCTAAAGAAGGAGCGTGGGAGCTGAGAGCTGTCACAGTGCCAACCGGTGCAGTGCCCAGTGCTTGAGGGCAGGGTGTAGAGCACAGGATGACAAAACGAGGGAGAAATCCAGTGCTGGGTGCGGCCTGGTTATGAAATCACTTCTTCGCTCGGCCCCAAGCTCTCATTACCCAAGGCAGGGTCTGCCGGGACCATGGGCAACCCACCTGGTCACAGGCCCCCCCACCACAGGACAGGGCACCAGCGCCCCACCCCAACCTCCACAGGATGTGCAGGGCCAGACTCAGGCCTGAAACACGGTGCGGAACAGGCAAGATTAGGGGAAGAGGCTCAGGTGAAAGGAAAGGGTTGTACACTGGGCTCATGTACTAGGACCATCCCCAGACCCGAGTCCTAAGACCCTTTCCTGGGGGCCTTTTGTCCTCAGGAAGAATGACCACAGGCCTCTCATGATACCAGTAGTGTCTTGTGGCCTAGAGAGCAAAGAAGGCTTTTCTGTTATACCTGCCCTAAGCCTCCTGCCGCAGTCAAGACCTCTCCCCTCTCCTTCAGGAGACAGAATCTGGACCTCAGCATCCTTTTCCTGTCACATTAGGCACACAATCACTGCCCCCGAATCTAATGGGCTATGGAGTCAGTCTTCCTACCTCTGGCCTAGGGACCACCAGTAGTCCTGGGGTCCTTCCTCTGACCTTTGGGCCACAGCCCAGGAAAAGCCATCATTCATTTGGGCTCAGGTGAGCCCAGGTGTTCCAGTCCCAGCCGGGAAGCCTCTCTGGAGCCTTGACTGCAGATGGGCAGGGAGATGGAGCCACAGTGGGGAGCCTGCTCAGCGATCCCCCACCCACCCTGTCTCTTTCCCCAGCTCAGCAACAATACAACAGCTGGCCAGGCTGTCACCGTGGAGCTTTTCCTGACCCTGCAGTTGGTGCTCTGCATCTTCGCTTCCACGGATGAACGGCGTGGAGACAACCTGGGCACCCCTGCCCTCTCCATCGGTTTCTCTGTGGCCCTGGGCCACCTCCTTGGGGTAGGTCATGACCACTGTTGGAGGGACAGCCATACGTACCTTCCCCCAAGAAGCAGACACACAGACCACTCTAGAAATAACACACAGGGATGCCCGAGTAGCTCAACGGTGAGCGTCTCCCTTCAGCTCAGGTCCCGGGATCGAGTCCCTCATCTGGCTCCCTGCATGGAGCCTGCTTCTCCCTCTGCCTGTGTCTCTGCCTCTCTCTCTCTCTCTCTCTCTCTCTCTCTGTCTCTCATGAATAAATAAAATCTTAGGAAAAAAAAAGAAATAGACACACAGACCCCCCCCAGTAGTGACAGACACAGAGCCCCCCCCGGGGGGGTGCCAGATACACAGAACTCCCCAGAGGGACACCCCAGAAGGTGTGACTCCCAGATACCCCAAAGGAACAGATCGCACCCCAGCCTCAAGTGAATACAGAAGCCCGGGAATATAGGGACCCACCGCCCATCACAGGGATTCCCTGGAGGCTGAGGTCAGGGGCTAGAGAGGAGCTGGATGACTCCCTGCCCCGCCTCATCCTCTCCCTTCCCCTGCGACTCCCGCCTCTCACTCTAGATCCACTACACCGGCTGCTCCATGAATCCGGCCCGCTCCCTGGCTCCTGCTGTTGTCACCGGCAAGTTTGACGACCACTGGGTAATGGCCGAGACCTCCCGCCTTCCCCTCGCCCCAAGCCCGTCTCAGCCAGGGCGGGAAGAGAGGGGCGCAGAGCTGGGGGCTGCGGGCCTCGCCCTCCTGGGCGCCTTGGGTTCCCCGCTGCGGGCTGGCACCCTGTGCGGGACACTTGGCCTGCGCCCCCGCAGCGAGGATAGTGGCACTTTTGGCCTCACTGGCTTTGGGGAGGGTTGAGGGATGCTCCTCAAGTGAGATGGGAAGCTGCACGCCCAGGGCGCTGGGACCCCGCAGATGGCGATGTTTAAGCTTGCTAACACACACATTTTCATTAGTTAGCACTTACCCAGCCTTAGTATGGGCCAGGCCAGCCTAAGTGCTTTGCAAATGTGTGTGTGTGTGTGTGTGTGTGCGCGCGCTTTGCAAACACTAAAGTGGTTTTCACGACCCGCCTGGGAGGTGGGCATCGTTACAGTGGAAGGAAGCAGAAGCCCAGACAGCCTGGGCAGGTCGCCCCTAAGCAACCCCCCCCCCCCGTCGGGGCCGCGCACCCTTAACCCCTCAACAGCTGCTGCTGTCCGCCCCCCGCTCCGCCAATCTGCCCGCTTCACCGTTAATCGCGGGGCACCCCCCCTCCCTCTCGGCACCAAGTAGGGGCGGGGAGCGCGTGCCGAGGCCCAGGGGTGCGGGGAGTCGGGGCCGGCGCCCCCCGCCCCGCGATGCCCGCCCCGACCGCGCTCTCCGCCGCCCCCAGGTCTTCTGGATCGGACCCCTGGTGGGCGCCATCCTGGGCTCCCTCCTCTACAACTACGTGCTGTTCCCGCCCGCCAAGAGCCTGGCCGAGCGCCTGGCGGTGCTCAAGGGGCTGGAGCCCGACGCCGACTGGGAGGAGCGCGAGGTGCGCCGGCGACAGTCGGTGGAGCTGCACTCGCCGCAGAGCCTGCCCCGGGGCAGCAAGGCCTGAGCCGCCGCCGCCCCCACCCCCAGCCCCGGCCCCGGGGGGCTCCAGCGACCGCGGGCCCGCCGCCCACCTCGCCCCCCTCCCCGGTCCCAGCGCCCCGGGAGCCGCTGCCAGGGCGGCGGGTGGCGCTGAGCCCCGCAGGCTGCGCGCTGTCCGCGGTCCCACCCTCTGGCCCCCGCAGGGAGCTGGACCCTTGGGGAGCGAGGCCAGCAGGCAGAGGACCTGGGAACCCGCGGCGGGTTTTTGCGAGCGTGGGCGCGTGTGTGCAGAAGTGTGTTCCTCCCCAGTGCCTCTGTGTCCCCAGGTGCGCGGTTGTGCATACTCCTGGGGGCCAGTGGCTGTGCCTGTGGCGGGCGAGTGCGCCCCCCCACCCCCAACCTCCACTCCCCTCTCCACCAGATCCTCCCCAGCGCAATAAATCTGCTTCCTCTGCAGTCACATCCTCCCCAGGAGCTCTGAGAGAGTGCTCCCTGCGACAAGGAAGGGGAGGGCCTGGAGGCCGCTTGGAGAGCCCGGATTGCCACCCCCTACCCTGCCTCTGCTGGAAAATTCCCCCAAGCCGCAGCCCTAAGGTTTGCCAGCATCCACTGCTAGAGACAGAAAAGTATCAACCGGAGAATGGCTTCTCCAGAAGTGGCCTCTGGAAAAAGGGAGGGTTGGGTGGCCCAGGACCTCCCTTCTGCCCGGAGGGAAGACCTCTTCAAAAAAGGAAGCCCGCATATGTGTGTGTGTGCCTGTATGTGTGTGTATATGTCCCACACGTGTGCATGAGACCCCCCCCCATCTCCAGGGGGCTCCGGACCCAGAGATTAGCCTGTGGCAGAGCAAACAAAGCCCTCTATGGGCCCCACGGCCTTTGTCTTGGGAGAGGGCGAGATTTGCAACTGGACACTTGGTGAAAGGAGACACTCCGGTTCGCAAGTGAGGCCTCCCTCCCGGCTGTACCCATGGTCGGCTGGTCGAGGTGGTCAGGCACGCAACCGCAGGCCTCACTCTCTCTTCCTCTCCCTCCCTTCAGGTTTCCTTCCACCGCACTTCAGTTACTGGGGTGGGGGAGAGCAGCCTAGCGCACTCTCAGGACCACAGAAGGGAAATGACTTGTCCAGGCAGTGGCAGGTCTGTGGCTAGAGCCTGGGCTTCTAAATTTCCAGGCCAGTGGAATGGTTCTCAAATGAGATTAAGTGGGATTAAGTGAGATGATGCATGTAAAGATGCTGCGTGAACTGTAATTCCTCATACCATTAGCACGTGTTATTGGGATTATTTCATTATTTCGGCTTCCTGTTGGTAGAACACTGAGGGTCCTGATCCTCAGCCTCTTTTACCTTTAGTTGGTGGCCAGTGCAAAGGACAGCCCTGGGAACCCAGGCAGAAGGGGATGGGTTTGAGGCTGACCCCATCCTGGTCCAGCCTCTTAACCTCTCTTGGCCCTGAGCGCCCCTCGCTGTTCCCCCACTTTCTTCCTCCCATCACCCAGACCACGCGTCCTCTCCCTCCCCCTCCAGTCTGCTGCATAGCTAACCTGAGAATCACAACTTGAGCCCCCTTCTCCATGCACTGCTGCCTCCGTGCTTTCCAGGCTTTTAACCATGTCTGTCTCACACTACACCAGGCACCCTCTGTGTACCCGAGTCTCCAGCCCCTTCCCGCCCTCCAGCCCTTCAGAGATGGACCATGTATGAGGAACATCCCTGTGATTGTGCCCACCTCCTTATCTATGGGTTTTTTTTTTTTTTCTGTCTTGCTTGACCAATGCTCCCTCTGGAGTCAGAAAAAGGCTGCCTTGGCCCATAGGTGCTATGGAGATGGTGGTCCCAAACCCCCGACAGCTGGTGACAGCCACCTGGCCTCACTCCCAGAGGAGGGGTTGTATCAGAGACCAAAGTGACCCCTGGGGCGGTACTTTGAACTGCTCTGGCAGTTCAAAGGCAGCAAGGCATTGAGCTGTGAACCAAGCCTGGATGTGTCTCAGGCACTTCATCCCCACCCCACCAAGAATTTCTCTTTATGTCTTCCTGGACTCCACTTCCTGGATGGATTGTACCTCACCTAAAACTTAATGTGACATCACCATGACTTCTTGCCCTGATTGCCCAGATTGGGGTCACTAAGGTCAGAGGTCAAGGCAAGATTCAAAATGATAAGGAGGGAGAGGACCTGACACCTCCAGAGCATCTCTTGTGTCCCAGACTCTGGGTTAAAACTTCAGGTGAGGGGATCCCTGGGTGGCGCAGCGGTTTAGCGCCTGCCTTTGGCCCAGGGCGCGATCCTGGAGACCCGGGATCGAATTCCACGTCGGGCTCCCGGTGCACGGAGCCTGCTTTTCCCTCTGCCTATGTCTCTGCCTCTCTCTGTGTGTGTGTGTGACTATCATAAATAAATAAAAATTAAAAAAAAAAAACTTCAGGTGGGTTAGGGAAGGACAACAGTTTCCAGCTATGCAGGGTTTTAACCTTTCCGATGCATCCCCTATTATTGCCCGCGATTATCTCCCGACCCTGTGACAACAGGCAGAGCAAATATTGTTCTTCCTATTTTATAGATAAAGTCTCTGCATTTCAGAGACTGGTCTAAAGTCACACAGCTGTATGTAGTGGAGTCAAGACTTGAATTCAGGCCTTCTTAGTCAAAAATCCCATGATCTGTCCATTCAGAGCTCAGAGGAGCCTCTGGGGCAAGTCCTAGTTGCCCCTTGGGAGCCCCTGGCAAACACCGGAGTACACCACTGAGCCTGTCCAGCCCAGCCCTCTGCCTGGAGGTGGACACAGACCCTTGGGGACGGCTGCAGCAGGGTAGAGAGAAAAAGACAAAGGACACCAGGCTGGTTTCTGCCCTTGAAAAGCTCCCAGTGTGCAGGAGGATGGAGGTCAGACACACCCAAAACCAGACAGCAGCAAGGTAGCATGGAGGCAGGTGGACTGGCTTCCAGGTCCTCAAGCTGGGAAACAGAGAAGACTTTGAACTGAAGGGAAAAGGTGGCTGAGCACTGGGTCCCAGCAGCATCCCTTCCCAGATCCCCACTTTGTGCCGGATGACTTTGTGCCTGCGAATGTTGCTTTCCTGGTGTTTTGTATCTTTAAGCTGTGATCCTGTATATGTGCAGTGCCTCCCAGGCAAGACCGTAAGCCCTTTGGGGGCAGGGCTCCCTCCAGCTCTTGGATGGCCTCCTCCTATCTATTCGCCTTCATCTGTCTTGGCTAGCTCAGTGCACTGCATATAATAAGCACTCAATAAATGCTCATTTGCCAATAAGTGCTATTTCTTCCACAACTTAGAAATGGTCAATATTGTCCAAAGGACCAGGAGACACATCAGGGTCTCTGATGTCTTGAGGCCCCCAGACCTGCTGTTGGGTATGGTGCAGAAGGAATTTCAATGCAAAATAAGCAGGTCAGCTAAGGTAGCCTGTGATGGCAACTCCCACAGCCAACCTGGCCAAAATGGGCATCCCAGGCTTTGCAATGCAGGTGGCACGGGGAGGGCACCAAGACACGGGCAGGCTGTGTGGCCTCCAGAGCAAGTAAAGAATGGCCCCTTTCGGTCTTCTCATGCTGGCCTTAGCACCGTGCTGCAAAGTCAGGACAGGGAACTCCATAGTCTGGGACAACACCTATTCCTCAACACGTCCAAAACTGACTGATCCTCCCACCATCCCCTCCCCCAACTCAAAGGATCCAACTTCAGTCTTCTGGATGCACAGGCCAAAAGGCTCCAGCCCCCCTGACTCCTCGTCCTCACACACCACCAGTGCTCCATCCGGCAGTCCCGGCGAATGCTCCCTTCACGAGGGATCCAGAATCTGATCCCTCTCACCTTCAGCACCCCCACCGAGGCCTAGGCCACCATCACCTCTCCCTGGCTAGGCACCTACCCGTCTCCCTGCTTTCTGGTCTCCTGCCGACACAGCAGCAGAGGGGTCGTGTCAAAAACCTTGTCAGACTGTGCCAGTCCTTGGTTCAGCGACTTCTTCATCCCGGCCGAGAAGCCTGTGGGCCTTCTGGTGGTGTATCCCTCTGCCCTCCTCTCCTTATGCTCATTCTTGTTCCCTCTGTTCCAGCAACACTGGCTGCTCTCTCTACCTGGAATGTTCTTCCCTCAGATATAGGGATGGATCTCTCCTTCTCTTTTTTCTTTTTTTTTTTAAGATTTTATTCATTTATTTGACAGAAAGAGAGCAAGAGAGCACAAGCAGGGAAAGTGGCAGAGGGAGAGGGAGAAGCAGGCTCCTGGGTGAGCAGCGAGCCCAATGGGGGGGGGGGTGCTCCATGAGGGACTCCATCCCAGAATCCCAGGATCATGACCTGAGCTGGAGGCAGATGCTTAACTGACTGTGCCACTCAGTACCCTCTCCCTCTCCTCTTTCAAGTCTTTGCTCAGATGTCACCTTCTCAATAAGACCTCCACTGAAACCCCATTAAAATTTCGAAGAACCTCCATTCCCACCCCAGCATGCCCAGCCCCCCTTAGCTTATTCCATTTTTCCATAGCACTTACCAGATTCTATCATACTGCATAATTTACAATACCCATTGTTTATTGTCTGACTCCTTCCCCTAGAATGTTAGCTCCTCGAGGCAGAGAAGGGGTTCGCCAGCTCACGGCTACTTCTCCAGGGCTTAGAACAGTGCCTGCCACAGAGTAACTGCTCCATAAGTCTTTGTGGAAGGAAGGAATGACTCTTCCCCAACACTGGGGAATGCGTGGAGCCTCAGGGGAATATTCTGCTGCCAATTACCCTACCGTTTCGCCTGCAGCCCTCAACTGTTCCCAGGGAATACAGGGGGCCCCATATCAGGAGAGGAGGGAGGGAGCTCTCCCTGAGAGGTTCTAATTCTCCCTGCCACAGATGGGGAGATCTGTCGCCCAGCCCAGAGAGATCCCAGGGAAGCATCCTTCTGGGGCTGGCAGGGCCCAAGTGCTCAGGGCAAAGACAATTCCAGCCGCAGTAGTTTCTTGGGACAACACTGGAACAGAGTAACCCTGATGGTTGGAGAGAGATGGAAGGACCTCAAGCACAGGCCTAGCGAATGTAACCAGCTGGTCCCTCTGAGTCTGTGGGGTCATCTGGGTCATCATTCCAGTAAGGGACAGGCCTGCGCTGAGCCCTGAGCCCCAAGCCCAGATGAAAATCCAGTACACACTTGCCATGCTCCTCCAGGGGCAGGGCTCCAGGACCCATGGCAGAAAGACAAACAGACCTCCTGCCTTAAGAGGACAGAAGTGGGTGTGGCTCAGTCCGTTAAGCCTTTGGCTCCAATCATAATCCCAGGGTCCTGGGATGGAGCCCCACATTTGCATCCAGCTCCCTGCTCAGCAGGGAGTCTGCTTCTCCCCCCCTCCCAATTTGTGGGCTTTCTCTCTCTCTCTCTCTCTCTCTCTCTCTCTCTCCCTCCCTCTCGCTCTCAAATAAAATCTTAAAAAAAAAAAAAAAAAGATGAGAGAAGTGGGAAAGGAGCTGCTCCAGCAGGAAACACGGAACTGAGGAGGAACAATAGTGGGGTTTCTTTGGTCCCTGTTTTCTTTGGCCTCTTAGCTGCCACAGAGCCCAGAACCCGCTCCTCCAGGTCCTTGGCTTTCCTCTGGGCCCAACCCTCTTAGGCCCTGCTGGAGAGACCAGAGGAGCTACCTGTTCCCTCCTTCTGCTGCACCCTCTGCAGAACTCCACACAGAGCCCTCAGGGGGCCTGTAAAATTATGGTCACACACACAACATGAGGAAACTTTACTGAGCCTTATTCTGTACCAGGCACCGAGCAGAGTGCTTCCCAAGGACATGTGGCAGTAGCAGGTGGTACAGTCTTTTGTGGAACTCCTCTTGTGGGATCCTGCGGTGGGTCCCTGCCCCTCTTCCAAGCCCTGCAGGGATCTCCAGCCTCATTCCCTGAATGCGGAACCTGGCGCCAGGAAGAGGGAAGGGTGGGAGAGCCAGAGGAGAGCAGCCTGGAGTTCAGAGGGAAGGGATGGGAACAGGAGGAGGAGGATGGGAGCAGGAAGAGAGCATCACCCAGTCCAGGGCTGGAAGGACTAGAAAAGACTACACGTAAGAGAGATGGGCCTGAGGAAACTGAGGTAGAGGGCACCTGGGGGGCTCAGTTGTTGAGCATCTGCCTTTGGCTCAGGTCATGATCCCAGGGTCCTGGGGGGACCCACGTGTGGGGGACCCACCCTCGGCCAGGGGTCTGCTTCCAGGAGTCTTCCAGGCCTGGGGTGCCTGGGTGCCTCAGGAGGTAGAGCATGCGACTTTTCTTTTCCCCAAGATTTTTTATTTATTTGAGGGAGAGAGAGAGAGAGAGAGAGAGCGAGCAAAAGCACACAAGCAGGCAGGGGGCGGAGGGAGAGGGAGAAGCAGAATCACTCCTGAGCAGAGCGGGACGCGGGCCTGGGTCCCAAGGGCCCTGGGATCATGACCTGAGAGGAAGGCGGACACTTGGGGGACTGAGTCACCCAGGCGCCCCCGCATGCAGCGCTTCATCTCAGGGCTGTGGGCTGGAGCCCCACATTGAGTGTAGAGATGACTTAAAAATAAAATCTTAAAAAAAAAAAAAAAAGACTGCGAGTTTGAGGGAAGGGAAGACGAAGGGGAGTGGAGGAGGTGAGCCGTGGAGTTAAAGGAACGGGGGGGGGGGGGGGGACCAGAGTAGGGGGCCTCGGAGGCCGGGAGGTCAGCGGGGCGCCCGCGCCGTCCCCGCAGCGCACCGCCCCCCGACTCCCGGGGCTCCCCCCGACCCACACCAAAAACGAAGTCGGTCGCGCCCCCTCCCGTCCCGCCCCGCACCCCGTCGGGGGCTCGCTGCGAGGCCGCGGGGCTCGGCGCCGGGAGAGGGCGCCTCCGGGCTGCGGGCTCCGCCGGCCGCTTGCCCAAGCCGCCCCCGCGGCGCCCCGCCCCGCCCCCGCCGGGCAGGGAGCGGAGCCGCGCGCGCCTCGGAGTCGCACCGCTCCAGCCCCGCGGGGGTGAGGCCGGGTCGGGATGCCCGGGCCGCAGGAGGGAAGGGAGGAGCCGGCCCCAGAGCGCGGCGAGGCCCGGGGAAGGGCGGGGACGCAGGCAGAGGGCCCGCGGAGGTAGGCGCCGGGAGCCGGCAGGACGCTCGAGGCCGCAGCCGGCGGAGCCGTCCAGGGACGCGGCCCGGAGCGCGGGAGCCGAGCGGCGCGCACCATGCGCGGGTCCGCGGGCGCCCGGCCCGTCTACACCGCCGCCGCCTGGGTCACGTGGCCCGGGCGCGTCCGCGGCGGCCCCGGCGGGGGGCCGGGCGAGGGCGCGGGCGCGGGCGCGGGCGCGGGGGGGCCGGGGGCGCGCGGGGCCCCGGGCCGCGGCGAGAGGCTGCCGGCCGCCGGGGTCCCGCCCCGCGCGCTGCGCTGGGTCCCGGGCGCCGGGGCCGCCCCCTGCCCCCCCGCGCTCGCCCCCCCGCGGGGCGCCCGGCCTCTATATAGCGCGCCCCCGCCCGGCCCGCGCCAGGCCGCCCGCCAGCACGCCCCGGGCGCCGCGCCCCGCAGCCAGCCCCGCGCGCCCCCCGCGCCCCCCGCGCCCCCCGCGCCCCGCAGCCAGCCCCGCGCGCCCCGCGCGCCCCGCGCCCCCGCCCCGCCGGGCGTGCCCCGCCGCCGGGCCCTCGCGGCCACCATGAAGAAGGAGGTGTGCTCCGTGGCCTTCCTCAAGGCCGTGTTCGCCGAGTTCCTGGCCACCCTCATCTTCGTCTTCTTCGGCCTCGGCTCGGCCCTCAAGTGGCCGTCGGCGCTGCCCAGCATCCTGCAGATCTCGCTGGCCTTCGGGCTGGCCATCGGCACCCTGGCGCAGGCCCTGGGGCCCGTGAGCGGCGGCCACATCAACCCGGCCATCACGCTGGCCCTGCTGGTGGGCAACCAGATCTCGCTGCTGCGGGCCGCCTTCTACGTGGCGGCGCAGCTGGCGGGGGCCATCGCCGGGGCGGGCATCCTCTACGGGCTGGCGCCGCTCAACGCCCGCGGCAACCTGGCCGTCAACTCGGTGAGTGCCCGGGCGGCTGGGGCGGGGGCGCGCTGGGGTGGGCTCCCGGCCGGGCCCAGACCACATCTGGGGCGTGGGAGCCTCGGCCCGGGCCAGGGCACGGCCCCGCCTGGCAGGTGGCGGCGCCAAGCTCCAGGCCGGACGGTGCCCGGGGTTCCCCGGGGTGCCCGGGCTCGGCCTCCCTGGTCAGACCCACCTCCTCCCCTGCCGCCCTCCTGGAGCCCGCGGCCTCTCCTTTCTCTGCCCGAGACTTCTGGCTTTCTCCTGTCTGGCTTCTGCCCTGCGCTTGGGACCCTCGCTGCTGCCGCTGCTGCTGCTGCTGCTGCTGCTGCTGCTGCCACTGCTGCTGTCTGCGCAGCACTGGAGTGGTTTCGCCGAGCCATCAGGGGTGGGTTGTAATCCTGGCTTTGGGCCCCCCTTGCCCCTCTGGGCCCCACCGTTCTCAGCTGTTCCACGGCGGTGGTCATAACCTACCGCAACAGGTGTCAAGGGGGTTACATCTAGAAACCGCGTGTGCGGCGCCAGTGTGTAGGGTCTGTTGAATACGGGTTCCCGCTCCTGGTCCCCTGCTCTCACCCCCTTCCACAGTCCCATATTCAGTCCCCATGTCCCATGTAAACTGGGTTCATTAATCAAACACAGAGGAGGATTTTCTCGGCCATTGTCAAGCCGTGAGTCAGCCCCACCGGAGAGACGGGTTTGAGGTTGGCTCTGGCAGCGGGTCAGACACGGGCGGGAGGCAGGCTGGGGGTGCAGTAGGCAAACTGGGCAGCTGCCCACAGGAGGGAGGGGAAATGCCAGCTTGTGGGGGTTGGAACTGGGCAGAACCGTTGACAGGACCTTGTCCAGGAAAAGCTCCCCTCACACTCAGCTCCTTGGCCACCGACCGGCCTGGGCTCCAAGCTTTGTGCACAGGGTCAGGTAGGTAGTCTTTTCAGCAAATGACCTTTCTGATGTGCGCAAGGCTTGGCTTCCAGGGACAGTGGCCCTAGGTGTCCTTGGAGGCCAAAAGCCTCATCCCCCGAGCCCCTGGCCATAGAGCCAGAAGGCAGGGGTCCTAACCCACCCTCCCCTTGCAGCTCAACAACAACACAACCCAGGGCCAGGCTATGGTAGTAGAGCTGATTCTGACCTTCCAGCTGGCACTCTGCATCTTCTCTTCCACTGACTCCCGCCGCACCAGTCCTGTGGGCTCTCCGGCCCTGTCCATCGGCCTTTCCGTCACACTGGGCCACCTCGTGGGGGTGAGCAATGCTGCCACTTGGTTGCAGCTGTGGGGAGCCCCCCAGGGCAAGTAATGGGGCTCTAGAGCAGCACCCCTCCGAACCAGGGAACCTAGCAGTTAAGGCCTGGAGCAGGGTTGCTATACTCTGTCCCAGGCTGGATCCCCACAAATCTTCTCTAGTCTGAGGAAATATGGCAGGAAGTGTGAGCTGGGGGGGGGGGGCAGGAAATCCAGCCTGAGCACAGGACTGGAGAAGAAAGAGGGGTCCATGGGGACCAGTAGAGGGAGAGCTCACCAGCCTAGCAAATGGGAGACTAGATTCAGAGACCTGGCTGAGCCACTGAACTTCTCGGTGGCTCTGGGAAAGACCAGGCCTTTAGGAGCGGACAGGCATGTTGCCCTCCTCACTGCCGCCTCCCTCTCTCTGCCCAGATCTACTTCACCGGCTGCTCCATGAACCCGGCCCGCTCTTTCGGCCCCGCAGTGGTCATGAAGCGCTTCAGCTCTGCTCACTGGGTGAGTCTGGGCCCTCCCTGGCTCCCTGGCAATGAGGGCCTGGAAACCTCATTGAGCTCCCTGGATCTTCTGGATGCTGTGGGCCCCGAGCTCGGGGTGGCCTTGAGAGGCGTGGCTGGAGAGAGATCGAGATACAGACAGGGATGGGACGCAGCCAGAACAAGGACAGGGGGAGTTAAATGGCAGAGGACCCTGGTTTAGGGCTGGGGTGGGGCGGGGCAACCCTGGGTAGCTGTACCTCTAAGGAAGGGAAGGAGATCGGTTCCTCTGTGTAGATCTCTGAGGATTTTGTGTCTGTCCTTCTGGGGTGGGGCGGCTGGGGGCAGTGTGTCTGTGTGTCTGTCCTCTCTCTGATGTTTTATATATCTTTTCCTGCCCAGGGGGTTCAGGGAGTCTTCCTTCCTGTGGGCCTGTCCCTCTGCACAGTCTATCTGTCACCTCTGCTGAGAGCTCACGTTCCCTCTCCAGGGTCTGTTTCGTTCCCTGTGTGGGAGGGAGAGGAGTTCTGTGGTCTCCCCGGGAATCTACATGTCTCCTTCGAAGGGTCACTTGTCTCTCTTTAGGGTGAGGTTGGGGGGCCCTGTCCTTCTGGGGATCTGTCTCCTTTGAAGATTGGAGCGTCTGTGGTCCAGGTCCCTGTCATTGAGGAATGGGGTGTCAGTGTATCTGTTCCTGAGGCAGGAGGAAATCTCTCCCTCTGGAGGTCCGGAAGTCCGTATGTCCACCTGCTCTGATGGTCCAGGGGTCTGTCCTCTGGAGGGGAAGCTGTTGGTCTCTGAGGCCTGAGACTCAGCCCCCTGACACCGCCATGTCCCCGCCAGGTGTTCTGGGTGGGGCCCATCGTGGGGGCCATCCTAGCTGCCATCCTCTACTTCTACCTGCTATTCCCCAACTCCCTGAGCCTGAGTGAGCGCATGGCCGTCATCAAGGGCACGTATGAACCTGAGGAGGACTGGGAGGAGCAACGAGAGGAGCGAAAGAAGACCATGGAGCTGACCGCCCGCTGACCAGTGTCAGGCAGGGGCCAGCCCCCCTCCTCCCAGTCCCTGAACCACAGGAGGAAAAAAATGTATACATATATATAAATGACAGCAAGGCTTCCTTCCCCTACAGCTGGGTCCTCGGGGCTCAGGAGGAGGTGCTGGCTCCTTCGGCTTCACAGTTAGGGATGGGAGCAGGAACCCATAAGGGGACGCTTAGGTGGGGGCCCAGGCTGGTGTCCGATGGGGTAAGGGTCTCTCTGGAACAGGGCAGACTGCTGCCATGAGGTCAGATCTCAGACACCGTGAAAGGAGCACCAAGCTTACAGGCTTCCCTGGGGCCAAGCCAGGAAGGGGTGACCGTGGCTGGACACCCCTATCTTCCCTGACCCGCCCCCTTAAGAGCCGGCGGGGTCCTAGTCCCTAGGACAGCAGAGGCTGCCCCTCCCCACATCGCCCTAGAGGGAGACAGACTGGTTCATTAAATGCTGCCTTATTTATTTCTGCTCAAGGATGCACGGGGTTGGGCTGCTGGTGTTTGGGGCAGGGGCTTACCAATAAACCACTGACACTCAGGTTTCGCCTTGTCTCTCCCCGGAGTCTCTTTTTGGGACTCTCTGGCTGTTCACCTCGGTCCCTCCAGACAGTCTGTCTCCTCTTTGTCATCCTCTGCGCTCCCCAGGGTTCTCTGCGGGAAGACAGGGAAGCTGAGGCCAGGGGAGGCTTGGTCAGAGAGATGACATGGGGAAGAGAGGTCGGGAGAAAAGGAGAGACCAGAACATAGAAATTGAGCTGGAGGTGAGGAGGGGGCAGTGGGAGCAGGGGAGGGGTCCTCACCAAGTCACCCACCTGCTGGCCCCTCCCACCTCAGCTATGTCAAGTCTCTGCCACTTGAGGAGGGCCTGGCACCAGTGCCAGGGTGTGCCAGGCAGGGTGGAGGAAAAGTGAACCAGCTGGCAGCCCCTGGAGATGCCAAGGGGGTGACCAGCCAGAGCTGTCATCAAGGAGGAAACAGCCCTACACTCCCCTCTTTGCTCCTCACTGTTCCCAAAAGGTGTCATGTGGGAGCCTGTGGTCAGAGGGAGAAGCCCCTTGCCCCACATGGCAACATACCCGGGAGCCCCAGCCTCTCTCTGGGTCTCCAGCCGCTGTTCCCACTCTCGTCCCCTCTGGGCCTGTGGCTCTGCTCCACTCTCCCCTTGTGCCCTTGTCACTGACACTCCTTAGGAAACCTTAAACTCGCCGAGGCTCCATCTCTTAAGCTATAAAACGAGACTAAAAAGTGCTTCCCTCACAGGGTTGCTGTGGGAACGTTTGGAGATTAAGGGAATGAGATTCCTGGGACTGGTCTGCTCTCTGTAGGGAAGACGGTGGAAGTCTTGCAGAAGAGCAGCTCAGGACACAGCCCTGTGTCATAGTTAAGGAGTCTGGCTTGGAGTTCAAATCCTGCTTTGCAACTTTGGGTAACAGGCTCTCCGAGGATTGTTTTTGTTTTGTTTTAAGATTTATTTATTTACTTGAGAGAGAGCTAGCACGAGCAAGGGGAGGGGGAGGGGGAGGGGCAGGGGGAGGAGCAGACTCCCCACTGAGCAGGGAGCCTCATGTCCCGGGACCCCACCAGGACCCAGGACCCGGGAATCATGACCGGAGCCGAAGCAGGTGCGTAACCAACTAAGCCACCCAGGTGCCCGTGGGCTCTCTTAATTACCTCACCTATAAAATGGGGATACTTGTACCCACCTCCTGGGTTGTTGTGAACATGAGACAGTGGGCGGAAGGCAGGTGCCCGTGCAAACAGCCACGCGCCTCAGAGTGAATGCTCAATGGACCAAGTGAAAGGGAACCGGCACGTGCACATCTGGGCCCCTGCTCTCCTGAGAGTGAACCTGAGCTCCTGCTTCCTCTCTGGAATGGGAGCTTCTCCCTTGAGGGGGGCCGGGGGGCCAGGGTGGAAGAAGGGAGCTGGGGGACAAGGGGCAGACTCCCTGGCCCTCCTGCAGGCTCCAGCCTAGGACTCGCAAGCGGCGGCTGCACCGCCCGGGCCGGGCTCGCACCGTGTGTGCGCGCTCGTGCGTGGGGGGGGGAGTGAGGACCGCAGGGCCCCCTTCAAGGAGCCCCCCTCGCCGGCCTCGCCCCCCTCACCCCCCCGCCCCTACCCCAGCCAGGCCGCTAATGCCAGCTCCCACCAGCAGGGGGGGCCCTCGCCCACCGAATCCGCGGCTGCCGGGCGTCCCCGACCACGCGTGGGGGCCGGGGGCGCCGCTCGGGCCTGGGTCCCCGAGGCCGCCGGGAAGCAGCTGCCTAGCCCCGGGAGGGCGCGCGGGAGAGACGACCCCCCCCCCGCGTGGGGCTCAGGCTCAGGCTCAGCCCGACTGGGGCTTGGCCGCCCCCTGCGGCCCCGCGACCCGCGTCCCTTTCTTCGATGGGTCCGAAGGAGAGCAGCAGTGGCCAACGGGGGGCCCCTGGGAGACAGGCCCGGGGGGGGCGCCCGGCCAGACGGCGAGGGTCCCCGCGGGGCTCGGGCGACGAGACGCCGCGGCGGCTGCGTGGCCGGCAGAGGGCGCTGTGCTCCGCGGCGGGACCGTCCCGGCGGCGCGGCCCGAGCCCGGAGGACACGCGCTCCGCAGCCCCGCGCGTCTACATCGACCTTCAGTCGTGCTCCGGGGCTGTCTGCTCGGCGTGGACGCGCACCCATGCTCAGTACACACAGGCTCAGTCTCCCCGACCCTCTGCTCCACCTGCAACCCGGGGAGAGCCTTGACTCCCCCGTGGGAGTGCCCCTCCCCCCCAAGGCTGCTGGTTTTCACCAGGTAGGAAGGCGGACGTGCGCACACCTGGGAGACAGCGGAGGGCCGGAATGTGTGCCAGGTGGGCTGCCAGGGGAGCGGGAGGAGGGAGGAGGGGAGCGTCGACGTGGCTGCCACAGTTTGGGAGGATTGGCGAGATGATGCGTGGGAAGCTACCTTGAATCCTTTCCTTTTTTAAAGATTTTATTTATTTATTCATAAGACACACGGAGAGAGAGGCAGGGACATAGGCAGAGGGAGAAGCAGGCTCCCTGCGAGGAACCTGATGCCAGACTCAATCCCAGGGCCCCGGGATCACGTCCTGAGCTGAAGGCCAATGCTCAACCTCCGAGCCACCCAAGCGTCTCAAATCCTTCCCTTCCCTTTCTTTCTTTCTTTTTTTTTTTTTTTTTAAGATTTTATTTATTTATTCATGAGAGACACAGAGAGAGAGAGAGAGGCAGAGACCCAGGTAGAGGGAGAAGCAGGCTCCATGCAGGGAACTCGACATGGGACTCAATCCCGGGTCTCCAGGATCATGCCCTGGGTCAAAGGCAGACACTCAACCGCTGAGCCACCAGGCGTCCCAATCCTTCCCTTTCTGACGTTCTTTCACGCTCTCCCCTTCTCTCCCAGCACCTCCCTCCTTCCCCTCCCTTTTGCTCCCCCTCAAGCTGAGAGGACCTCAGTCAGAGCTCACATTGCCCCCATGTGCACACGCACTTACACACACCCCACTCCTGGATGGCGGATGGCGATAGTCACCCCAGCAGCTAGGCCTCTAGGAAGTGAGAGGCACACACACGGCTACAGGAGCTGTAGGCAGCCAGGTGTGGGGCCTTGGCTAAAAGGCCTCAGGGCATGAGAGAAACCTCAGAGCTTCGCAGTAGAGCCCAGGACTGGCCAGGCCCAGGGAGGTGCCGGCTGGAGCTAGAGCTTGAGCAAGCCCTGGCCAATGCCCACCTGGCCTCAGGGGTGAACGATCTTGTCCTGTCCCCAGGCATCTCTGCTCTAGGCCAGCTGGAGACAAGGGCTGCTGCTGCACTGAATTCTCTCAGCCTTCAGGGCCCACCCAGAACAGAAGCCCCAGGAGCTGCTTGTCCTGGAGCTGCCGCAGCAACCAGGACCCTTCCCACCCCAGCCCAGTCCTCACACCTGTCTCCCCGGAGGGGTGAGGGAAGTGACAATCCTAACAACCCAAGTTTTTTTGGCTCAGGGACACTTTCCTAGGTATCAGCACATTTACCCCTAATGACGCATGGGAAAATGGGAATTATCTTTATTTATTTTTAAGATTTTATTATTTATTCATGAGAGACACAGAGAGAGAGGCAGAGACACAAGCAGAGGGAGAAGCAGGCTCCATGCAGGGAGCCCGATGTGGGATTCGATCCCGTGTCTCCAGGATCACGCCCTGGGCCGAAGGCAGGTGCTCAACCGCTGAGCCACCCAGGCATCCCAATTATCTCCATTTATAAGAGGGGAAACTGAGCTCGCGGGAGTTACGCCCGGTCAGGGGTGCAGCATACACAGCAGCGTGCAAGTGCTCTTGCCTGTCTTGCCTCATCAGAGGCTCTCGGCAGGAAGGCATTAGTGCTCAGTGCTCGGTGCACAGGTGCTAGGGAAGGTGTGGGGAGCCTCTGTGGCCCGGTCTGCAGGAGGGAAGGAGACAGATGCCCTGAGCTTCCCTGGGACAGGCCGAGGCAGAGCGCCCGCCGCGCCAGGGAGGAGCGTCACCCACGCTGCACCCACAGCCACCTTCCTTCACTCCTCGGGCATTCACTGAAAGCCTCTTTGTTACCAGGCAAGCATGGGAGTCCGCACTGGAACAGGGGAGGCGCGAGGAGGCCGAATCCAGAAGTAGCTGCTGGCCGGAGAGGAGAACGCGGGCAGGCTTCACGGAGGAACCCGACCTGAGCAAAGGCTTGAGAGACAGGACAGGCGGAACAAAGCCGAGGTTTCTCCACTGCTCTGGGATTACCCAGGCCCCCTTATCAAGTAGCAGCCAGGAGCGGGAGAAGTGAAACCCCAGATGGGTCTGGGGGCAGCCCAGAGAAAACCCCAGTTGCTCAGAGGCAGCCGGGAGCCCAAGGAGGGGCCCTTGACTGGCTGCCTCCTGCTCGGAGGCCTTAGAAGGGTGGCGAGAGACAGAGCCCACCAAGGAGGACGGGGTCAGGCTTGCTGAGCAGAGCTGTGACCCCCGCTGAGGTCATGGCAGCAGCCCGGTGGCCTGGTGCTTTCTCCTGCGGTGCTGGCAGCACAGATCCAGGTGGGGGCAGGGGCTGCAGAGGAGAATGGAAGGGGGGCTGGGGGCGGTGGAGAGAGCAGGGAGCCAGGACAGCGGGCACCAGGGGATCCGGCTGGGGAGGGGAGGGTGAGGCCAGGAAGTCTGGAGGAAGGAAGGCGGGTGGGGGAAGGTGAGGGACAGAGCCTGCAGCAGAGCTGGGGTAGCCCACTTGCCGCTTCCAGAGGGCGCGCTCCGGGTGGGAGAGGAACAGGGCCCTACCCGAGCAGGCCCCAGACCAAGACGAGATAGATCTGCAGGTCACCTGCTTCCGGGAGGTCCAGGGGCTTTTACCCGAGATGTCTTTCACTCGACAAATGTTAATCGAGGCCCAACTATGGCCAATCCCTGTGCAAGGCCCTCTATGTAGAGAAGAGCAAATTTCGGTTCCTGCCCCACCACCTCATTAAGGGGGCACATTAGCACCATGACCGCCCCCCATGAGGACTGAGGTGCACAAAGGTGCCCGGGAATGGTGGGAGCACAGGGAGGGGTCATCCCCCA